ATGCATGCATACATGCATGCATCAATGTATACATGTATAATATATAATTGTGTATGTGTATATATACATATATATATATAGATGCGAGGAGTGGGCATCTGCCACCGTGCCCCTGGCACGAAGTGGTGTGACCAAAGGCTAATGCAGCACTGAAAGGGATGTGCTGCTGCTACAGCCAGAATTGTAGGTCTTTGAGGGCCAGGACCAATCGTTTCTCGGGCTGGCCCGGGGTCTGCTGGGATCGCTCGCGTCGGCCTACCCCGCCCAGGAGGGCCCAAGAACGAGCCCAGATGGCTACAAGAAGCCCCCGAAATGGTCGAATAGGACCCCAAGTGGCCCAAAGATCGCTCCCAGACGCCCAAGATGGCCTCAAGATGCCCCAAGAAGCATACAAGACGCCACAAGAGGCCTCCAAGCTCCAAGTGGCAAACCTCATGCATTTTCCATTGGTTGTTAAAGCAGATGTTGGCGTTCTCGCCTGTTCGGCTTCCCGATGCTCCAAGACGGCCCAAGAGGTTCCTGAGACCACCCCAAGACGGCCCTGAGGAGTCCCAAAGACGGCCCAAGAAGCGCCCAGAACAGGCCAAGAGGGCCCCAAGACGGAACACGAACAGTAAGTCCGAGCCTTACGCCCGAAGAGGCTCCCGGGAGGCCCACACAGGCGCCCTAGAGGCTCCAAGAGGCCCCCGCGACGCCCCCAAAGAGGCCCCAGGATCCCAAGAGGCCCAAACCGGCCTCCGAGAGGCTTCAAGACTACCTCCAAAGGCCTTCGAGATGCCTCCCACAAGATCCCCACGAACGCCAAGTCGGCTTTACACCCACAACCCAGGCACGGTGGCGGAATGGGCCGAAGGCCATTAGATCCGCCGCCCCCTGCTTGCAGGGGTGCACGGCGTGCTGGATGTTTCAGGTTTTGGTTTTGGTTCTTTTTCCAAAAGAACTCCCCAGTGGGCTCCGGCAGAACCCGCCGGCCACCCGGAAGGCCCCCAAACGTGCTCAACGACCGGAAACAATCCTCCAAAAAACGGCCGTTTCGCTCGGGACATCCTCAAAAAATCGCGAAGATGGCCCAAGATGGCCTCCAAGTCCGCCCGAGATGGTCCAAGACGGCCTCCAAAACGGCCCAAGAGAGTCCAAGACGGCCCAAGACGGCCCAAGAGGCCCCCCAGAGGCCTCCCAGACGGCCCAAGAGGCCTCCAAGAGGTCCTCCAGGAGAGTCCGAAGAGGCCAAAATCATTGATTTTTCCTTGGTTTTTGAAGGATTCTGGCATTTGCGCCTTTTCGGCTCTCCGACGGCTCGAGACGGCCCAAGAAGCCCCCAAGATCGCCCAAGAGGCCCCCAAGAGAGCCCCATGATGGCCCAAGTGGCCTCCAAGATGGCCCCTAGAGGGCCCCAAGAGGGCCCAAGAGGCCTCCAACACGCCCAAGATGGCCTCCAAGACGCCCAAGATGGCCTCCAAGACGGCCCTGGAGCATTCCAAGCGGGCCCCAAGTCGGCCCATAGAGGCCCCCCAAACGGCTTCCGACGGCTTCAGACGTGCCAGGAACCCACCAAGATGGCCGAAGTTGGCTCGAAGCTGGCCCGAGACGGCCCAAAAAGCCCCAAAGATCGCCCAAAGCTTGCCCAAGAGGCCTCCAAGACGGCCAAGATGACCTTCAAGATGCCCACGTGTTCCCCGAAGGCTTTCCAAACCGATTCGGGGAACACGTGGTCCGATAGCTTGGTAGGTCTGGCCTCAACGTTCGGCCACATAGGCGCTTCCAAAAAGGCAGGGGGCGGCGGTGATTCGCCGTAGGCGTCTTCGATACAGGATGCAATCGATCCGCCGCCCCCTGCTTGCAGAGGTGCACGGCGTGCTGGACGATTCAGGTTTTGGTTTTGGTTCTTTTTCTAAAAGAACTCCCCAATGGGCTTCGGCCCGTCCCGCCGGCCACCCGTAAATTTCCCAAAATCCGTCTGTCAATGCCTTTGTTGCCCCAACTTGGCCCAAGATGGCCTCCAAGACGGCCAAGATGGCCCAAGATGGCCTCCAAGATGCCTCCCAGACGGCCAAGATGGCCTCCAAGACGGGTAAGATGGCTCCAAGATGCCTCCAAGACGGCCCAAGATGCCCTCCAAGACGGCCAAGATGGCCCCAAGATGCCTCCAAGATGGCCCAAGAGGCCTCCAAGACGTTCTCCAGGAGAGCCCGAAGAGGCCAAAATCATTGGTTTTCCTTAGGTTTTTGAAGGTTTTTTGCGTTTTCTTCTTTTCGGCCTTCCGACGGCCCAAGAGGCCCCCAAGATCGCCCAAGAGGCCTCCAAGAAGGCCCTATGACGGCCCAAGGGCCCCCCAAGACGGCCCCAAGAGCGCCCCAAGACGGCCCAAGAGGCCTCCAAGACGCCCAACATGGCCTCCAAGACGGCCCTGAAGCGCCCCAAGAGGGCCCCAAGACGGCCCAGAGAGGCCCCCAAGACGGCTCCAGACGGCGTCAGACGGACCAGGAACGCCCTAAGACGGCCAAAGAGACCCCCAGGAAGCCCCCAAAGGCCCCCAAGAGGCCCAAGGAGGCCCCCAAGATGCCTCCAAGAGGCCTCGAAGAGGCCCCCAAGAAGCCCCCAACAGACCCCAAGGGTGCCCCAAGAGACTCCTAACAACCCTCATCCTCCTACTCTATTTCTTCCTCTTCCTCTTCCTGTTCATAATCATTCTCTCCCATGTGTTCCCCGAAAGCTTTCCAAACCGACTCGGGGAACTCATGGTCCGATAGCTTGGCCAAGCTCTAGTCCAACTTTCGGCCACATCGGCGTTTCCAAAAAGGCAGGGGGGCGGCGGTGATTCGCCGTAGGCGTCTTCGATACAGGATGCAATCGATATACTGCAATCATCTAGGGAAAGAGGGAAGACATGCGGACAAAATATTACATGACAGAGAAGAGGAGACAGACGAGGAGCGGGAAGGGAATACAGACGAGGAACATAAGATGAGTGAGAGAGAGAAGATAATACATAAAAGAAGAGAAATAATAACCGAGTTAGGTCTTTACTACCCCGCCCCCCCGCTAGTGGAAACTACATATCCTTTCGACGCCCTTGTTGAAGGACTGGGGTCCCACCAGTAATGGAACATAATTTGTCCTCCACGACACCCGCCGCGCAGCAACGACGACGACGACTACGACGTCGATTACGACTGCGACCACGATACGACTACGGCTACGGCTTCGACTACGAGTAGTTAGCCACTACAGCGACTTTTAATACTACGACTACAACTACGAGTACGAGCACGACTACGAGGAGGGAGAGAAAGAGGAGACGAAGGAAGAGGATCCAGAACTAATGACCTCCTAGGGCTAGTCTAGAGAAGAGGAGAGGGACTGGCCTAGGAAAAAAATGGTTGCGAACTAATGTTCGTGGGCTCAGGAGAGCAGAGGACAGAAAACACCAAAGAAGAGAAGCTATATAGATAAAAAGTGGGGAAGGGAGGAGAGAAGGGAAGAGATTCCGAATCAAGGCCCAGACCGCTCCAACGTAAAAAAAAAAAAAAACAGGCCTAGAATAATTGAATCGCGATCCAGGTGTCCTGCTGCGAGACCACCAACATCACTTGGATCGCGGTCAATTTGTTTGGGATCTGGATTTGAATGATTTCCGGGGGCATCTGGCAGGGGGCGCCGTCTGTCGACATCCGACGTCCGATGTGCTGCCTTGTTCAGCCTGGAGTCCCCCTTCGGACCCCTTTGGAACCGTTTTGCAACTCGAACAAGCTCACTTGCGTGGCGTTTCGCCCCGAACCCCGCTTAATCCACCCCCTTTGAAAGCAAAGCAACGCTGGGACGAGAAGGCGCGCAAACGAGTCCCGACCTGCGGGAATCCAGATTTCATGTCGGGCTTCGCTGCGCCGCCCCCCTTCCCGTTCTATGCAAGCTAACTTGATGGAGTCTGAAAGATGGCAACCTCTTTTCGGCGGCCCGCCCCGGCCCCACAGTCTGGCACTGCCGCAGCCCCGCTCAGTGAACGCCCTTCAAGGAACGCCCCTCGGGGCTGACCGGGCACGGGGGCCGACTAGCCCTGACCGGCGATGTCGACGATTGCAAACCGACCGGCCCGGACCAACCTGACAAACCGCGACACAGACATCTGGCTGCTCCAACTTTTTCGATGCGTGGCCCTCAGATGTCCGGACTACTTCCCCAGGGCAGGTTTGTCGCCATGAGTCCTTGTTGTTGACGGCCCCGAGGCCCGGCGAGGCCCGGCCAGGGCCCCCGAAGTCCGAACAAAAATACCAAAGACTGACTGCTCCAATTTCTGTGGGAACGTCGGATCTCTGCCCTGGGGATGCTGGAGACTGGACCGGCGGGCCAGGAAGGAGGCTCGCCGCGTGTCGGTGCTTCCTGCCGAGGCTCGACTGCTCCCGGCCGCAGCACCAGAGGTCGGGCCTCCGAGGCCCGACAGCAGCGGCGCCAGTCAGAGAGCCTCTGGCGAACCCATGTCAAGGGCCAAACACTGATCCGTGCAGTAGGAGCTCGACCACAAGAAGCCTTCCACAAGAAAAAACCCACCCTGAGACCCCAGGATGTCCATTGCTGTTGTGTATTGGAACCCAAGGAACCCATGGCACCCTGGAGGCAAGCAGGGTGCTTCTTGGCATGGGCTTCCACTGTATCAGCGGCCTCGCGGGCTGGGCCCCTGGGCCACGACGCCGCGCCCCGGAGTCCAGACCTCACAGGGCGCGGACACGGACACGTTCGCCGCTCGTGGTCACTGCGTGGTCACCGCGCTCCCTCCACCTGCATGCACGAATCGGGGGCTGCTAAAGGTGCCCCATGGGCCAAGGTGCCCCCAGCTACTCGCTCACACTTGGAGCCCCTCGGGCCTCTGGGCCTCGTGAGGGGTGCTCTGGAGACCCTGGGGGGCCCACACTGGAAACTCTGGGAGCACCTTGGGCCAGGGGCACTTCTAGCGACACCCCAACAAAGGGCGTCCATACTTGCAGAGCGGCAGCTAGGATCGCGGCAGTAACACATGAACTCTTCGAAAACCTTCTTTTCTGCCTCGCCCTCCGCCGTCACCTTGGCCTTCATCTCCTCTCCGGGCGATGTTCCCACACATCCGGCGTCGTGGTTTGAACGCCGATGACAAACTGGTCTTGCGCGAGATGGCATGGCGACCTCACGCGGTGGCTTTCGAAGGACGCGGCTAAGACGGACCTGTTGTTTGCTCGTCGCTCACTTGTCCACAGAGTGGCTCCCCAGAGGTCTGGATCCCTTTCCCAGGACTGGCGCTTCATCCTGAATCGCTTTATGACGGTCCCAGGGTGGGGCCCCTGGTGGCCGAAGATTGGCAACAAAACTCCGCGGTGATTCGTTCGCAACGTGAGGACGTCCGGGCATGTTGCTGATTCTTTTGACGCTCCGGCCTCTGCAGGCTTCTGAGGACAACCCGAGACTGAAGAGATCCCCACGAATCCCGCGACAGATCTCTGGGGGCCCATGCCCAAATCATCCATTCCCGAACATGTTCGGTAACGCTCCTGACGAACTGGTCGGTACTAAAAAGAATCTCGGCAACGAGCAGCGAGGCGTCGGCGTCTTCCGACAAGCACCCGAATTTCGGTAGCGCGCTACCGAAATGTATTGCGGCGCTGCCAGCATGTTCCACATGAGCGCTGATTAAACGCGGCCATCAATTCTCCACAACGCTACCGACAATTAATTTGATCCTTACCGGAAAATCGTTTGACCGTTGCCGATATTCGTTCGACCGTTACCGCAAATCCGTTTGAACGTTACTGAAATCGGCACCTTTATCGAATTTCGTTTCGCCGTTACCGAACAAAACATTTGATTGGATTCCGACGCGCAGTCTGTTCGTTACCGAACTTAGGCTCTCTCCGGTCGCTTCTAATATTGGGCGCGACCGAAATCCGTTACGGACAAATTCCAGTAAAGGATGATCTTGGTGGTGACCTCTGGGGACACAGCCCGTTCCGATAGACAGGAACTGCTGTCAATGTTCGTCCCCTTTCTGGCCCGACACTGAAGCCAACTGGGGAGCTAAGGTGGGAAAGCATTGGTTCTGTCCAGCAGAAAAGGGGAGAGACAGGGGCCGCCTCGTTCGTTGCCACGGCTGGACGCAGATCGAACAAACTGTCAGTTTCGACTCCGGGAGGGACAGACTTCGAGCGGATTTGCCCTCGTCCCCCCTCTTGACCGATTTTCTCGGGGTCCATCCAGCGCAGACCCCCCGACCGTTTCCAAGCCCGACGACTCGCCGATGATGCGCGGATGAGCGCCGGGGACAGCCCAATCTTTCAGGAGTGCTGTCTCGATGCGGTCGAAGCTTTGAGCAGATCACCATCAACGCGGGCGCGCGTCGCGCCGGACACGAAACGAGGCGCTGGTGCACACGGAGCTGGTAAGACAAACACTTAACATTGCACGCTGCAGAAAGGGGACACGACTCAAAAAAAATGGCACGCAAAAGCGAATCCACAATGAGTGTTTGCGAAACATCCGCTGAGATTACCGCAAAAAGCGTAAGCGCCATGGAAGCACACAATGCGTGTAGCCTGAAGGACGCGGGAGCAGAATGCTGCTGTGCTCCATGACGTGTTCGTTTACCGCCCGCGCTCATGCGGCACGCGGCCGAAGGAGACCAACTCAAATGCAACGAGCCTCTGGCAGCTACTCCTGGCCCTCCTCATCCACCCCCTGGACTTCCTGCTCCTCCCCAACCGCTCCAGATCTACGACCAGAATCTGAAGGGCTGGCGGAGAGGGTCCCCCCATCCAGAAGAAACAACCAAGCGTATGTCTGTTCCAGACGCTGGAGGTCTGAATCTCATGTAAAATGACGATGAATAAAATAACTAATGTGGGGGGAACGATTAACAACATCATGTAATACTTTCAGACTTTTCGGTTTCCGCTTCGCTTCAGCCTGGCCGGTCGACCGTCCAGGCGCGAGCACGAGGAAGGCGGAGGGGAACGATAAAACAACTAGTTAGCTTCCCTGCATGGGGCCAAATGTTCTAGTCATCATCCCGGGCGCTGCCGCGTGAACACGCGCCCCAGCCATTTCTTCCTCATCATCCTGCATTGCAGCGCTGCGCCGACACGCCACGGATCCGACTCTCACCATCTCAAAGGAAAAACCAGTCCGACAGCAAGTTGACGACCTTCCTGATCGGGTTGGCCCTGTGCTGGGCCGCCTCGAGGGGGAGGGCGCATGGGGAAGCAGCAGCCAGGCGGAGGAACAAGCATCCCCCACATAAAACATCAAACATAAATTTTCGGATCTCCACGAGGATTTCTTGGATCGACGCAGAGCCCTCCTCGCACGCGGAGTGCGCCAGGGGCGGCGCCAGAGGCGCCGCCAGCGGCATTCAGCGCCGATCCCAGAAACCCGCTCGGAATTCTGGAAGTTCATGTGTATGTCATGATTTGCTCCCCGACCGACGTCGCATGGGTTCGTGGTACGGCCCCCTGGGGATCTGCGATCCCTTTCCCAATAAAACGAAACCAGGACGAAGACAAAGTCGGGTGAGGATGAATCCAAAATCTCTGAGATCCAGCGGCTCCGGAGAATGTCTCCGGCGCCGCGGCCTTCTCAGAATGTTCCGGCACGCTCCCACAGCGTTCCGCAAAGCTCTGGAACGGATCTATCCTCGTCTCAGCCCCGTCCGAAAGAGGCCTCCCCTGAGATCCTTGTTTACATCCAAATTATTGGATGCCGGATGCTGTTCGGTCAAGATTGGTAAAGACCGATCGGCACTTCAAGTCGACCGCGAACGATCATGACCGGTTCCCAAATCGGCGCGACTGGTCGCGAACGATCGCGACCGGCTGGTCGCGACCGATTGGTCGCGTTCATCCTCGTCCCGGCCCCGTCCGGACCAGGGAACTGGCTGGGGGAGGGGTGTGGGACGGTCCTGGAGCCGGGCAGCGGTCTCCAGGAGGCCGCAGACGTCTCCCCAAGCCGGACGTCACCACTGTGTCTGCGCCGCCTGGGCCCGAGGGTGAAGGGCTGGAGACGGGCGAGCGCGCCACTAGCTCGGAGCCTCCTCTGAGCGTCTCGGAGACTGGCAGAAGCGGGCGAGGCCAGGGCGGAGGCGGGAGCTGGAGGGAGGGACCAGCGATGCACCGGCGATGCACCGACGATGCATCGGCGACGTCGACGTGAAACAATTCGGACCAATCCACATCGAGCCGTATAGGCGATGCATCGTCGATGCGGCGCGATCCTCCGACCTCATCTACTCTAACCCCATCTAGGAGGCCTCGAGACGAGGGTGACGTTCGTCGGTGGCGCGCCCAGGAGCAAGGTAGAAAGGACGGGCCGTCTCAGAAGGCTCTGGAACGCGTTCTGTTTATTTTCGACAATGACGGGCGTCATGGGGGGGGCGAGGGGGGGTATATGACGTAACGCCCCCCCCCCCTGCCGTGCAACTCCGGAACCACAGCCGCGCCCGCGCGCACGACGACAATGAGCCACGAGCGACGACGACGACGACGCGACCAGCATATAGGTAGCGATCCGCCCCACAACGAATGTGTACACCACAATGCTCGCGTGCACCACAGCGCGCGTGTACACCACAGCACCTGCGTACACCGCAACAGCCGTGTGCAACGCAGCGCCTGTGTACACCACATTGCTTGCGTGCACCACAGCGCTCGTGTACACCACAGCGTATGTGTACACCGCAACAGCCATGTGCAACACAGTGCCTGTGTACACCACAGTGCTTGCTTACTCCGCAGCACCTGTGCACACCGCAGCGCCTGTCTACACCACAGCATCCGCGAGCAACGCAGCGCTGGTGTACACCACAGCGCCTGCGTGCAAAGGACAGGTAGAAGGAGCATGTCGGTGAGGACCTGCTGCGGACAGCCAAGCGCCACGCCAAGGAAGTGCCGATTATAGAATGCCACATTATTCCGTCCTCGCTCCTCCTCCACCTCCACCTACACCTCCTCTTCCTCCTCCTCGTCCTCCCCCTTCTCCTCCTCCTCCTCCTCCTCCTCCTCCTCCTCCTCCTCCTCCTCCTCCTCCTCCCTCACCCTTCCCCCCTTTCGTGCGGGGCGGCGCTGCAGCGCACGTGCGCATCTCAGCGTGCACTGCAGAATGGTCTATTGAATCACGATCCACTTGGTGCTCGGACGGCCAGCTTTGTTGGAGCCACCTGGACGCAAATGGGAAGAGTTAGGATGATGCGGGCGGACTCGGGAGTATTCGTAGATTCCAGCGACGATTTCCCCCATAAATATTTCAACCAAATCCGAAGTGAAACATATGTTTTCAGTGGAATCCACAGGCGCTCCATTTTGTCACAAAGATTCCTCGTAAAATGCTATATGCAACCGTGGTGCTCTGTTGCGTACGGTTGCTGTGCACGGCTGATGTGGTGTACGCAGGCGCTGTGGTGTACACGAGCGCTGTGGTGCCCGCAGGCACTGTGGTACACACTGGCGCTGTGTTGCACGCGGCTGCTGTGGTGTACATAGGCGGTATGGTGTACACAGGCGCTGTGGTGCACGCAGGCACTGTGGTGTACACAGGCGCTGTGGTGCAGATCGCCACCTACATGCTGCAGCTACCAGTCCTTGGTCAAACGCCGCCGACGCGAAACGTGACGTCGTCGGCCCCCTCCGCCCCCCCCCCAAATGGTTGCCGTCATCGGTCCGGAAAAAGAAACAGGCTCCAGCCGCGTCCGCGCGCACGACGACGACGAGCGACGAGCGACGAGCGACGAGCGACGAGCGACGACGACGACGACGACGACGACTGCGGACCAGACTTCTATGCGGATTCCTTTGCGGAGACCCATGCGGATCCCGATGCGCCCGGCGGCAGTTCCTGGAGCGCACTGGGGGGGGGGGGGGGCATTACGTCATAGGGTGTGTGTGGGGGGCCATCACGCCCGTCATGCCCCAAGCAATAAAGAAACACGCTCCTGAAGGCCTCCGGCCTTCTGAGAGGCCTCCCAAGCACTCTCCACGAGGGCTTCTCGGAAGGCTGGATGGCTTCTGAGAAGCTCCGCCGCCTTCTGATAAGGCCTGCCCCCACCAATGATCCCCGTCGTTTGGCTCAGGGCTGAACCTAAACGGTGTGTTTCGTTTTCGTTTTGTTTTCGTTTTCCCTCGTTTTGTCTTCGATTCGCTTTCACCGCAAAACGAAATCGAAACGAAAACGGCCCACGAAAACGCCAGAACACCGTTTAGGTCCAGCCCTGGTTTGGCTTCTGGGCCATGCTGCCGCTCTCCGGCGGCCACTCAGGACGATCTGGGCACCCCCGGACCGCTCCCGGCCAGGCGCAGATGCTGGAGAGCACCCCGAGGCCGGAAAACCACAGAGAAAGTACAGCCGACCTTGATTGGACAGGACACGCGAGAGGAACCAAGACCCTTCCGAGGGCCACACTGCCACAGGAATGTAGGAAGCATGGGCCGCGAGACACAGGACACAAGGGTACCCTTGATTTGGCAGGGTCGACCTACTACGGCAGGTTCGTGTCGTGCCGACCCCAGCGTTGGTTTTTGACACCGCAGGGATCGTTCAACCTTGAACGATCGGCCGCTGCCGCAACGTCCGATCGTTCAACATCGATCGATTCTGGGTCGCCGGCGGCGTTCAACCTTGAACGCCCGCGCTGGGGTCGCCGCTGGTCGACACGACGCAAACCTACCGTAATCAGGGCCGACTCTACGAAAACGCTCGGAAACCTCGAATCCGAGGGTCCCAGGCTTTCCCCCTCGGCGCGCCGCCCAGTCCAGGGGGCAACGGCCCTAAGGGTCGGCCGGCCCCTGCTGGAGGGGGCGACGAGGAGCACGCGCTGGTCTGGTAGCGGGCCCGAGAGGAGCGGGAGGCCCCCACGAGCCTCCCGCCAACAGTGCCGCCCAGAGCGAGACGAAACCGGGACGAGGACAAAATCGGGCGAGGATAACTCCAGACTCTCTGAGACCCAGCGGCTCCGGAGAATGTCTCCGGCGCCGCGGCCTTCTCAGAGCGTTCCTGCACGCTCTGAAAGCGTTCCAGAATGCTTTGGAACGGAATTATCCTCGTCTCAGCCCCGTCCAACAGAAGCTTTCCCCGAGATCCTGTCGTCGCATTTTTACATCCAAATCATTGGATGTCGGATGCTGTTCGGTCAAGATCGGTAAGGACCACTCGACACTTACAACCGGTCGCGAGCGATCATGACCGATTCCCAAATCGGCGCGACTGGGTGCGATCGATCGCGACCGATTTCTTAGCAAATCAGTCGAGACCGATGCTGGAATTTGAAGCAAAATCGGTAGCGATCGATCTCGTCGACCGCGACCAGGAAGTTCTGGCATCCAGTGATCAGGGGAACGGACGATTTTGCCTTGCCTAGGGCCCTGGAGCCCTCACGGATGGATCCGCCCAAAAAGTGCTGAAGAGAATGGGAGCCACTCCAGTCGATTCGAGAGCATTAATTTTAGTCGCGGCGATAACGGGCGCGGTGCATTGTGCGGGGGGGAGGGAGGAGGAGGGGAGGGGGCACAACGCAACGCCCCCGCCCCCCACCGTGACAGGCTGCGGTGCCAGACGCACTGCGGCATTGCCGGGGCCAAAACAAGGTGGGGGGGGGAGCGTTACGTTGTGGGAAGGAGGTGGGGGGGGGATGATGGGGGGGGCGTAACGCGCGTGTTGGCCCAGAGGGTAGAACAACTTCTCTGACGATGCTGCCGCTCTGTCGAAGCGTCGGATCTCAGCCCAGGGTCTCGTGGAGATCCCCAGGGGGGGCCTCCACTGCTGGGAGGCCTCTGTCTCCTCGGTCCCCGCGGGGCTCGTCCTGTTTTGTGATCCGGGCGCTCTTCCAAGGCCGACACCGTGCCCCGGGGCGACCAAAGATGGATGCGGGACGCAAAACTAGCCCCGGGGATTGGGTCGGGAACTCCTGGCGGCGCGCTCAGGGGGGAGGGGAGGGGAGGGGGGGAGGGGAGGGCTTCTTAGAAGGGGAGGGGAGGGAGGGCTTCTTAGAAGGAAGCTGCTTCTTAGGAGGAGAAGGAAGCTTCTTAGAAGGGAGACCTCTTGGCGGGAACTCTTGGGGAGGGGAGGGGGGGAGGGCTTCTTAGAAGGAATCTGCTTCTCGGGAGGCCCGGGCCTTACCCAAAGGTGTCAAACTTCGGCATGAGGCAAGCGCGTGATAAGGGAGACCGGTCCTGGGCCCTGGGGCCGTCCCCTCGACTAGCGCCTTCATCCTCCTGAAGTGGTCGTTTGATAGTCCCATCCTGCAAGGCCGCAGAGGGCCCTCAAACCCGGAAACGGTGAAAATCCGCAGGGCCCGTCTCCCTCAGGACCCCTTCCCAGACATCCGGCTTGGTTTGCCAACACGGGGTATCCGACCCTCTTCCCAAGGCCAATTTTTCATCCGAACCGTTTTTCAACGACCAAGGGGCCCGCTGACGGCCTGTATTTTTCCAGTCGGATCGATCCGTGAGGGCCCCTGAGCCTGAAACAAAGTAAAATCGCCCGATGCCCTGGTCATCGGATGCCAGGATTTGCTGGTCGCGATCGACAAGATCGGTCGCTGCCGATTTTGCTCCAAATTCCTGTATCGGTCGCGATCGGTCGCGACCGACTTGAAATCGATCGCGATCGCTCGCGACCGAGGTGGAGTGCCGATCGATCGCTACGACGATCGCGACCACGGGTATCCAATGATCAGGATTAGTTTTTTTGTTTCGCAGCGCTTTTCCTGCCCCCCCTCCTCGTCGTCTCTCTTCCTTTTCTTGCCGCGAGACCGACCCGTGGCGGAATATAATGATGAAGGACATGATGATGATGATGATGATGATGATGATGATGATGATGATGATGATGATGATGATGATGGCGCTGCTGATGATGATGACGACGACGCCCACAACGAGGACGATGATGATGATAAGGGTGATGAGGATGAGGGTGGTGAGAATAATGAGGATGATGAGGATGAGGATGAAGATGAGGACGGGGATGATGATGGCGCTGCTGCTGATGATGATGAGGATGACAACGATGATGGTAAAGATGATGTTGATGATGAGTGATGGATGGTGGATGATGGATGATGGATGATGATGATGATCATGATGACGATGATGATAGTGATGATGCTGATAACGATGATACTGATGATGATGATAATGATGCTGATGAAATTGATTGTGATGATGCTGATGATGATGATGATAATGATGATGATGATGATGATGATGATGATGATGATGATGATGATGATGATGACGTCGATGATGATGCTGATGATGACGATGACGACGATGACGATGATGCTGATGATAATAGTGGTGGTGATGATGATGATGATGATGATGAGGAGGAGGAGGAGGAGGAAACGAAGGAGGTCAATAATAATGATGATGACGATGATGACGAGGAGTAGGAGGAAATCCCTGACAACCTCTCGTTTGATTCGAGCGAGAGAATGTCGGAGTTTTCCTCAACCACGACAGGTGGGCGCTGCCACCTCGCTGGCCAGCGCGCCGGAGGCGCCGCGCAGCGCCAGGCAAAGGCAGAGGGCGAGCGCACGGCCAGCCATTGCCGGCGCTGGTTCCCAGGGGGGGTGGCCCTGCCGACGACCGTGCGAGCGACCGATCGAGGATTGGGTGTAGATTGAAAACGGGGCCGACCGTCCCGGCATTCCTATAGTCATACCACGACATGTTCTTAGAACCCAAAAATGTTCGAACAACAAAAACAATGTTCTTAAAACATACACCCCATGTGTTAAAACAAAACAGTCTTAGCCAGACATGTTCTCTAAGAACATTTCGTGGGAACCACAAGAAGTTCTTAAAACATTGTTTGGAAGAGCTATAGGCGAGCCGGGACGTTTCGCCACTGCTTGTATAGAGTTCCCCCCCGTGTCCCCACACCTCCGACAAAATGATGTGTGTCAGTGGCGGCGCTTTGCCTTTCGCTTCGGCCTCCATGCAGGGCCCTGGGACCATCAAGGATGGATCTGGGGGAAGAAAAACTTGCCCGAAAGGATGGCTGTGAACAGCTGGTGCCGCCGATTGAGCAATCCCACTGGCGTTCTCGGCGGAGGTGGTTTAGCGCGTTTCCTCCTCCTTTTTCCCTCGCCCCCTTCGGAGAAGGGTTTACCACTGTTCCTGAATAGTACGCATCCCCTCTTCCAACTGGCCAGCGACAAACACGGGACACAGTGTCGCCCCCGCCATCCCTGTCAACAAACAGTACGAGTTGCATCTTGCGGCAAACTGTCGAGTCATGTTCGGGGGGGCCCGAACACTTTGATTTTTTTTTGAGAGGGACGGCGGGGTGCCAGCATATGGCCTCTGCTGGGCCACCATCCCTCACAACACACATGAAAGCTGCACTTCGCGGCTAGATCTGGATCATTCGCGGGCACCTTGCGATCACTTTGCATTTACTTTTCACAGGGACGGCGGGGGGGCGGGCATATTGCATGCTTTGCGCGGGCCCCAAGGGGTTCGGTGAGGATGCTGACGGTGAACATATTTCCTGATGTGCGCGGGTGCATCTGGCACACTCTGTGCGTGCCCCGAACGTGGCGCGCATGGCGCGGCTGGAACATGCCGCGCACCAGTCGCACGTGGCGCATCTGGAACACCAGGCGCGCCTGGCACGCTTTGGCCCCATGGGCGCCAGTCGCGCCTGGTGCGCCTGGCACGCCTGGCGCGCGTGGCGCACCTCGCCCCAGCGTCACGCACCTGATGTCTCTACTGATCCCCATAAGGTGCCAATCGAAAAGCGACTGCTGAATATGCTGAGATTCGGGTACACTCACAACGTGTATTTACGACGGGTGGTAAAGACGCAACACCCTTGGAGGCCGAATTTCCGATTTTCCGGCGGCAGGGCGACCAGTGAAAACGACAAAAGATTGGCAGCAGAGGCAAGGGCACAAGGACAATCTAGATGAAGGCGCGCGTCCTTAATATGCCCGTTTACTATACTGCTTATACATTGGAAGAGCAGGTGGGGATGAGCCAAACAGTTTGTGCGTCTGGGAGAGGTGCCTGGGCCGCCGCGGCCCCTCCCCCTCCCCGCCCCATGGGGTCTGGAGCGGGCGGCCCGCGAGCGGTCGAGGCGTCAAAAACGGCATCGGCCAAAAAGCAAGCATCACTGGTTGTATTCGGGTGGCGCGCCCACGTGAGCCTTTTGTTTCTTGGGGAGCTTTAGTTGAATACTTTCGTCGATCGATCGACTCCAAGATGGCCCCAAGACGCCCCGAAACTCTCACGAAAGAGCCCCCGCAATGCCCCAAGCGGCGCCCAAGAGGGCCCAAGAGACTTCCCTAGTGAAGGGGTTCGCTTGGGCATCGTTGATTGGGGGGATTGTTTTGATCGCGACCGCGAGCGGGCACCCGCGCGGCGTCGAAAGGTCAAGCAACGTGCGGAACCGTGCAAGTGCAAGGCAGCGGCACATGTAGAAGGCCACTAGGCAGAGACCGCGCAAGAGTGACGAACACGGGGCGAAGTAGGAAACAGCAGAACGAGCGAAGAAGAGAAAGCGGCGACGAGAGGGGAACAGAGGGGGCGGGAAAAGAGAAGGAAAACCGCAGCTCAGACGTGGAACAAGTAAGGGACCACCCTCACCTTGCTGTACTCCATGTACTTGGCGGAAATATGCAACGGAAAAACGCACATCCAATCCAGTTACCGGATGCCAATGCCAATTGGCTGGTGGGGATACGCGAGGCACCATCAATAATCATGTCGAAGTGTGCCGGATCCCGAAAGATGGATGGACTTCTTGATCGTAGGCGCTTGCGTCCCGTCACCTCCATCCGCCCCCCCCCCAGAGTATTTACCAGTATGAACGAGCATCGTACATTCTCAGAAGCTGTCTCAGACTGGCCCAGGCACGCGGACTCCCTGATCCATTCACACTCATACTCACTCATGCTCAGGCATTTCGGCCCGTTCACATTCAAACCCTTTTGGCACTCAGACCACTCACGCTCACACGCACTCCCACGCATGCTCTCCAAGAACGCACGCTCTCAGAGCCACTCACACTCAGACTTACCAATGATGCTCAGACATTCAGATCCACTCACAGTCAGACCCACTCGAACTCACATCACTCACGCTCATACTCACTCCCACACATGTTCTCCCAACACACACGCACGTCTTTACATTCAGGGTCACGCACGATCACGCTGAGGATTACCCGCATTCAAACTCACTGGTACTCAGAGCCAAATTCAACACACGCACACACGCGGACCCACTCATGCTAAGACTCAATCGTACTCTGATTCCCCCTATCACACGAAGGCCCCCTCACACTCAGGCTCGCCGCGCATTATCAGACTTGCTCGCTCATGATCGGCGCGATGCAACAACCATGGCACTGCGGCATCCCAAGGGGCAGCCGCCAGTGGGTGCTACATGGACACGGTCGCGCTCAGCTTGAAGCGGGCCCGTTCGCGCCCAGTTTGTGGGGATGTCTCACGCTAAGCGCTCGTTTTGGCGCCCGTGTCTGCTCTATCTCGAGTGTCCCCTGGTCGAGGCGATGTAGCCAGCATGGCATTTGAGGCTTCCATTGGGGGACCCGCCAAGGAGTGTTACACGGGCCTGTTCGCGCCCAGATTGCGGGGATGCCTCCAGCAAAACGTTCGGTGTTGCGCCTCTGACTCCTCTTCCTTGAGAGGACATCGAGGGCCACATGATCGCCGCGAAGTGGCAAATTTGGCGCTTGGGGATCCCAAAGGGGAGCCGCAAAGGGGTGTTACGTTGGCCCCTTCGCGCCTATGCTGTGGGGACCTTTCAGGCGAAACATTGGTTTTGACTGTGCGCGCCAAGATCGTGGAGATGTCTCCAGCTCCTTTGTTTTGATAGCCGCATGATCACCGCGACGTGCCAGGGGAACCATGGGGCACCGAAAGGGGGAGCCACCAAACGGTAGGGCACGTGCCCATTCGCGTCCAAATTGCGGGGGCGTAGCAAGCAAAACGCTGGTTTGGTTGACCCGACTCCTTTGTTTTGACAGCACCATGACCAGTGAGATGCAGCAGGCATAGCACTTGGGCAGCGGGACCGCCAAGACCGCCAAAATGGCACAGCCACCGTGCTACCCTGACGAAGGCTGGACAAGAAACCAATGGGTTCTTCTGACCACGAACGGGCTCGCCGACCTAGACCTAATGAACGGCCCGAACATCAGAGCCACTCTCGAATCCGAGGTGGTTCTTCGTTCAGCGTCTTGACAGTAGAACACTTTACCGTTCGCATCTAGCTTGTGGAACGTCTCCAGCGAAACATAGAGGCACAGAGTCACAGGGACCAACAGAGACCAGCAAAGAGCACAGCGCAGCAAAGACCATCACAGACCAACAGAGACAAGCAAACACCGGCATATACCAAGAGATACTGGCAGCGAGCAGAAGAGAGCAGCAGAAACCAGCAGAGAGACGTAAAGAGAACAATATCTACAATCATGTGCCCAGTCAGCCGTTTTCAATATCACTCACTTGCTCATCGCATGTACTCACTGAAAACCTGGCTTGCTAGACGAGAGATGCACATGTGAGATAGAGCGCTTTCTGTGGGCGCTTGAAGGGCGGGGGATCTGGAACTGGCCCCCCCCCTCCCCTGGTTCAAGGGAGGGGTTCGAGCCTGCGCCGGCGCCGGCGCCGGCCCCCCTCCCCCTCCCAGGCCGGCGCTGGCGCCGGCGGCGACTGTCGGCGGCGGCGGGGAGCGTCGACAAGGACGCCGATTCAAGGGGGGGAGATGGGGCTGGGCCCCCCCCTAGGATGGGCGGGGGGTTTGCTCAGTCTTTCTGTAATGTACAAGTCTTTGCTAAATTGCGAGCAACTCCCCGCCCCTGGAGGAAAATGCATTATCCCAACGGAAAGTTTACTATCCCGACAGAACACGCACGATTCCGGAGGAAAACGCACCATCCCGACGGACAACGCACTAACTTGATCATGTATTGTGAATTCCCAGGTCTGCTGGAACATGCTGAAAATGCTCGGGGGCTACCTCAGGTTGGCCCAAGGAAAAAGATGGCGAACTGGCACGTCTTGCGGCGCAGGACTGGCGCAACCTAGACGGTAAAATTCAAAGCGACCCCACGATGCAACCCGTCGCGCGCCCACTGTGCAAATACCTTGCAGTTCATGGCGCAAGTGTGGCACACACCGTGGCTCAACCTATGGCGAACGCCGCGGTTAAATCAACGCCCCGTCCAATGGTTCAACGCTTGGCATGGGCACGGTGTGTCCACTGGTGCGGTCATAGCGCGTGGTGCACTCGCGAGGCGAACCGCGGTGTAACATATGATCCCAGGTCGGGGGCCTACGGGGGCTGGACCCCAGGGATTCCACGGGCCCGCAGTCCTGTCAGTCAGTGACACTGTCAGCAATGAAGTGAAATAATCAATCTACAACGTTCTTTGCCGAACCTGGGTTACGATCGGTATAGACATGCTACGTGCGATGGAAAACATTGATCTAAACTGGCCCGAATGAGAATGAACCGTCCCGGTGGAAAATGCACCGTCCCGAGAAGCACTTTTTCCCTACCTAAGCTCTGCCTAGAG